CGTTGTAAATGCAGAGACAATAAAGCTAACTCAAAAAGTCATTTATAATTCATAAGCCAAATGACTTATCAAATGGTTGATAATACATCACGTGCAGTGACTTTACATCAATAAAACCTCCCGTTATAAGTATGCGGTGTTTTATCAGATATAATGTCACTGCATGTGACTCATGAATATCAATTATCAGCACAGCAGCTGACACAACAAATGGTGGGTGAATATTTAACATTCTTTCAAAATTACACACGCAGTAAATTGAGTATTGCACAAAATCAAACTTTGTTCTTTCACCAATTTAATCAGCCAAAAGTTCAGTGACTGAGTGGTAATATTGGCTAATACAGTATACGAGCGTTGCGAGCAAGACTTTTCAGTTGTGAAGACGCAAGGCTCGAGTACTAGTTTTTCGTTTTCCTAGCATTCGGCAATTCCAGGAAATCTTTTCAAAGGCTACTTTTTCACTGCACGTGTTGACTTTAGGGTAGCATTTTCGATTAACCTCCTCTTTTCCCCCAGACGATAAGCTCTGGAACATAACGCCATGTCCTCTTCAGTTAGCGTCGTTCGTTGAAGAAAAATTCTATCTTTAATCTTTAATCTTTAATCACAGTTCGTAACCATACATAACTGATACAAATGAACTAATACTAACATATACAATCGAACAAAAATACAAAAATGGTTAACAGGACGGTAGTAGGGGGAAACCAAATTCCCATGCTAAGACATACCTTCCAAAAAAGAAAAAAGAAAAAAAAGAAAAAAATAATTAATTAATATATAAACATATATTAAAAGACTATAAATTAGACTATAAATTATAAACCTAGATGCCTAATAATAATGATGCATAAACTTATATTAAAGACACTATGCCTAATATTTTAAGGTAAATTATGAGCGAAGGTACTTAATCAGTGAAACTTTAAAAGACTGAAGGCTAGGAGATGACATTACTTCAGAAGGCAAAGAGTTCCAATCATTAATATATCTATGAAAAAATGAATATTTAAAATAATTTGTACGGGCAACTTTAGGCCTTATTTTATACTCATGCTTACTTCTAGTTCGAGTTATTCCAATAATATCAAAGTAATGATGGCAATTGATATCACAGTAACCAAATATAATCTTATACGTTTGAACTAGGCTAAGATATTTCCGTCTCAGTTCTAAAGAGTCCCATTTTAACTCTAAAAGTCTTTCAGGATATTCTTTGTCGGGGCCACATATTAGTCAGGACGCTCTTCTCTGAATTGCTTCGATTGCCTTGGTGTGTTTCACCAGATAAGGATTCCAGACTGGGCAGGCGTACTCGAGGATAGGTATCACTAGCGCCTTAAAAGCTGTCTTGATATCAGTCTTGTTTGAATAACCAAATGTCCTTTTAATCAAGCCCAACACCTTGTTAGCTTTAGCACAAATTGAGTTAATGTGATAATCCCATGATAAAGACGACTCCAACCAAACTCCCAGGTGTTTGTGGTGGTCCACTTCCGGTAGTAAGATGTTATTCAACGAATATTGACATCTTATTGGATCATTCTTCCGTGTAATGTGTAGGACTTCGCACTTCTCGGTCTTAAGAGTAACAAGCCAACTCTTGCACCATTCAGAGGCAGATGTCAAATCCTCTTGAAGTAGATCGCAGTCCGATCTATTTTCTATGTGTCGATGAAGGACAGTATCGTCAGCAAACAAATCTGAGTTGCAGGTTACTGAGTAAGGAAGATCGTTGATGTATGCAAGGAACAGCAAAGGCCCAAGTATACTTCCTTGGGGCACACCAGATGTAACACTTAACCAGTCAGATGCTTGACCCTCAATCACTACACGCTGTTTAAGACGTTTGAGATGTAATTTTCTTGTATGTCTAACTTCATATCTATCTATTTCGGTTCGTGCTTTCAAACCCGGTAAAAAACTCCTTTTTTTGTTCATTACACATTACATTAATGCGACGACTTTTAAAGTAATACAGTTGGACGCACGGAAGGGAGTGCTCGGCCAACTGGTTATACCAACAGGAACGGCTCCAAGGCTGAATTTTTCTCTGTCAGAATGCTTTTCAAGGAGTTAGAATATTGGTGGAAAGGTTGCAATATCCAACTTTTTAAATTTTCACATGACGCGTTCTATTCTCGCCAACCTTCCTCTTAGAGGTGGCTCGATAGGGTTTTTCAGGGTCGATAACTCCCAAGTTTGAACATAAACTACCTATAACAAAGTTTTGGAAAAAGTTTCCACCAAAGCTGCAAAAGATAAAGATGAAAATTTAATATGGTAAGGGTTGCAATGACATCTAGTTGTCATAGCAACGAAATGACGCCATTGCCTATTTTACTTGCGGCCGTATATCTCGTCAGTGGAAACTGTTTTACAAATCGTTCACGGGAACTTTTCCCTCTAATAGCCGCCTCGATGTTCCTGAAGTTTAAGAGAAATCGGTATGAGAGTTATCGTGATATTTTTGGGCGAGGTTTTTATGGTTAGAAATACGTTATAAACTGGACAATCTTGATGCTCGGCCGTTATATGTAACCGTGAATGGAAAGTTATTACCACTGCGACGATCATATCTTCATTTATATTTGTATTTCCGCGGTTCAAGTAGTCTCCATTTGATTAAGATATACGTATTAGTGTTTATAGAACAATGATGTAACTGAATTAGAATGGCAAAAACAGTCGAAAAGACAATCAATAGGCCAAACGCCTTAATCAAAATTTCATTTTAATTACAGAGACCTTAAAGGTTAATTAAAACGCCAAATTTCCAAACAATACATATGGAAGCACGAACAGGAGTTTTTGGCCAATTAGCCACCAACGCGAAAGGCGCCAGGGCTAGCGATTAAGAAACTCTCTTTTGGCCCTGGAGGTTATACTTTTAGACTAGATAAGCGATACTATTTCTGTCATTAAAGTGTTTTTTTTTGTCGATAGTTAACACAGAAAAAAACTATGCAAAGATTTGTAATAACGTTGTCAAAGGAACAACTAATATAGGCACGCTCAAAACGTCTAATTTCTTGAATTATCAATAACAAAGTTTCATTTGCATAGCTAATTAATTCCTTCTCTGGCTTTCTGCTTTCCTCTAAGACAACAATTTTCCAAATAGGTAATTTTCTTTTACATCTGGCTGTGGTGATAACTCTAAACCATTACACAGAAGATGATACTCTTACATATACTACTAATACTTGTGCTACTTGACCTGTCCGCAGCATTTGACACCTATGATCACCAAATTCTCCTCGCGAGGCTAAGGAAATATTTTAATTTCACAGAAACAGCTCTTATTGTTCTCCTCTTAATTGCTTGGCTGATCTAAGCGGGTTTCTATAGCGGATGCAACATCTCCGCCACTTTGTTTAGAGTATGGCGTTCCCCAGGGCTCAGTACTCAGGCCGCTGCTGTTCACTCTTTATATGGCACCTCTCAAAGATGTTATACGTAGCCACGGTCTCGACTCCATGTTCTATCGTCATTGACGACTCTAAACAATCCGTTGACTCTGTCGGTGTTGTAAAGGGATGCATCCATGATGTTTTTGCATGGAACACTAAGAATATGTTAAAGTGCAACCCTGGAAAAAGTGAAATATTACATTTCACGTCGGGGTTCAGCAAGCAACCTAGAGTTTACGAAACATTATCATTAGCTAACACCGGAGTAGAAGTGAAAACAAAAGCCAAGAATTTGGGTATCATCATTGATAAAACCTTGTCTTTCACTGAACATATTAACGAAATTTGCAAGAAAGCCAGATATGCCATAAGATCAATTGGTCGTATTCGAGAAAGTTGTTTCATTCTTGGATAATTTTCAAGTCACTGTTGAATGCTCATTTGTTCATCCTTGTAGCAGTTCGCAGTTTGGTTCGTCAAATGTGTCTAGTCAAGTCGCTAATTATGTTTTTTGTGGTCCTTCTCGTGTCGGTGTGTGTCAAGAAAGGAATTTTGGAAATGTTCATTATCTGAGAGACTTGCGTCGCCATGCTTTGGGGGCTCAGATGCGCCAGGCTGTGTCGAGTGGCATTTCTCTTAATGCCTCTCGACCGGCACAGCCCATCAGCCTTGGTGCTCTTGAGCCCTCCCATGACATGGCAATTTTTGGTCTCTCTGAGGTGAACAAGTTCAAAATTCCTTTCACTTTGGTTGGGGGTTATAGTCTTTTAGATGTATTATGGGGGAGGGTTGGGATGTTAAGCCATTGCGTGCCGATGTGGCAGATTGTCATTTTAAGTTTGTTACCTTACTTACAGTTTATTTAGACCGAAAACATTTTACTCTTAAGTTTTCATTTTCTTATTCCGAGGCTCCATTTTCATTGAGCCCAGATTACAGGGGGAAGTGCAAGGCACTTTCTCAATAATGTCAAGTTTTATTTGAAATACTTTTTTGAACTCAAGTTTTGTTGTTGAAAATTAGCTGAATTTAACAAATTCAAATGTCCATGTTATAATTAGCAGTACATTTTCATTCTTTGAAAATACTTAATTATGAAGCTAGATGTAGAGTGAAACTATTAGGGCTCATAGTATTCAGCTGACAATTTGGTGTTTGAACCACATTTGTCATAAACATAATTTTGTAACTTCTATGAAAATCTAAACATCTGGACTGGGCCTTGCCAGGTTCTGTTTTGCTAAGCTGCATGGCGTAATGACAAAAAGCTCTCTCGAATGTCTGCTCTTAGTTACATTAAGCACCTTATTTTTTGCAAATGATGACCACTGATATGTTTTCAGGTTATATTATTATTATTATTATTATTATTATTATTATTATTATTATTATTATTATTATTTATTATATATATTTTTCTCTTCCTTGAGTGTTCAAGATACCCTATTTTCTTAATAAACACCACATTCAAATAAATGCTGGGCCCATAAGGCTGAGTTTTAAATCTGGTGTTTTATCATGAAAATAGGGTGCCTATCATATAGTCATGTTGAACAAAGACTGCTTTAACATATTGTCATTAAGTTAAGGTTGCCTGTCTGCAGAATTGTAATGCTCCAGACGACGTTCATAGTTTTCCAAAGCTTTCTGTCGGTATGCACTCCGGTCCTCATTCCCCACTTGCTTCCACATCTCAGAAACAACTGAATTAACTTCATGCATTGTGAAGTGAGGATTTTCCTTAATTATACTTTTCCACATTTGTTTTGAAAACATGACATATGCAGTGCATGGCTTCTTTGAAAGGCTCTTTTGTGGCATTTCCTTTTCTGAATTTTTCCTTTTTGAAGACTCGCGCAATTTCTTTTTCAGTTCCCGGTGGCCTCCCACAACTTGGTGATTATTAATCATTGAGGATTTTGTGAAGACCTTTGCGTGAACCACATTGCTGGCTGGTGCATTCCTTATGCTTGTTAAATCTAGTTCATAGTGAGAAGTTGAGGGAAGAGTGTTTGTATTCCTTGCCTCAAGAATCAGTTTCTTCGAAATGATTTTCCATCCTAAGCGATAGGCCATAACCAAAGTCTTGTTCAGTTTTTGTGTTGCCTTATTGATCTCCTTTTGTGAAGTAATAATTATCAGCGATGCATCTGCTGCTTTCTCAACATCCCCAGAGAAAACGATGCCACCCAAGTTGTTGATAATTTCAGCCAGTTTTTCTGTGTTCACCTTTTCCTTTTCACCACGTTCAGCTATGTTTCTTGATATAATGAATCTATGGTTTTTCAGTGGCTGTGGTGTTGGTTCTCTAAGTTGGTCAAGAGCAACATCTATTGGCCTTTCTTTTGAACTGGTTGCAACTTTGATATGTTTTTTCCTTGGTGTCAAGTTAATGACCATTCCCTTGTTGACTTGCCCACCCCGGTGAGTTGGGAAATACACAGTCTTTCCACGTCTATATTCAGCATCAGTATTGGACACTGGGGTGCTGTTTGGCTCTGTAATGGTTGCTGGGGTACTGTTATGCCGTGCAATGGTTGTTAGGGTGCTGCTGGGCTGTGCATTGGTTACTGGGGTGCTGTCTGGCTGCGTAACGGTTGCTGGTGAGCAGTTATGCTGTGCCATGGTTGCTAGGGTGCTGCTGGGTTGTGCATTGGTTACTGGGCTGCTGTTGGGCTGTGTAATGGTTGCAGGTGTGCTGTTAGGCTGTGCAATGGTTGCTAGGGTGCTGCTGGGCTGTTCATCGGTTACTGGGCTGCTGTTTCGCTGGGTATTGGTTGGTAGGGTGCTGTCAGGCTGTGCATTGCTTGCTAGGGTGCTGTTGGGCTGTGCAATGGTTTCTGGGGTGCTGTTGTTGCTATCAAATTCTTTGGCGTACAAACTTTAAGAATTCTCCAGTCTGACCTGCTTGCTCAATCTTTTCTCTAAGCCGTCTGAAGGTCCACTTGAACAACGCCAAGATAGGTTCTTCTTTACGCCAACCACCACCACGAGATGAATGGGCATAATAAATACACTGGTGAAGATAGTGACAGTGCTCGCCACCCTCAGTACTTCCACGAAACAGGGAGTGGAAAGGAAGTTCCTTTAGAAGGAGAGGGACAATGTTTACTCGTGTCATTAAGTAAGGATACAAGCGTGAACGTCCATACCGTAATAACATCAGTCCATGACGCAAACAGCTAGACGTGTGTATTCTTCAATTTCACAATCCAGCAAGCGAAATCGATAATCTGCTGCACTTTTGGAACCAGAAGAAGAACCAGGTAGTAGATCAGGTCTCGCACATTCTTGGATCAGGATCATTTCGGCATAAGACGTGCATTTTCCAGTGTGTCTCCCAAATTTTCTTTTCAAGGTCATAATATGTGATTGTATTTGTTGGCCAACCAAGTGCAGTTTGAAGGCCTGAAGACAGTGTCTAAGGAAAATGTGAGGAAACGTACTGCTGAAAGCTTCAGGTGGAGCAGAGATGGTTTCAGCATGTGAAACATTCAAAGATATTGGTTCTAACTTTGGCCCATCAAACTTGACTTGAAAGTTGCCACCACGCACCCCTCGGGTGTTTATGTTTGACAGAAGTTTGGTCAAAGTTCCACTTCTCTCGTTGTTAACCACTCCCTCATTGAGACATGACATAACCCGTAAAGACAGCAAATGTTCTGTGATGCGTACAAACATATGATTTGCACAAGGGATGAAATGATTTGTTTGCACTGCAGGAAGTAGAGACTCAGGATGCTCCCGTTCAATTCGGTGCTTTAGTTCGGACCTTAAACCAGAGTTCTCACCAACAGCTGAGCGAGTTGAAGTAGTCTCAAAGGCATAGATGCTGAAGTTGTCATTGCTCTTTGGGTCCAGTCCACCTCCAAGGATAGCATTTGCAAACATATTGTCACTGGCAACGAATGTTTTGTGTCCTTCCTGTGCCAAGCTATTAATCCATGTGTTAAGATAACCGTTCCCACCACCAGTGTTGATTTCAAGATTAAGTCGTGAATCTAGGCCATAGAAAATGTGGATTGGCCAGCAGTTCTCCTCAGGACTCTGAAAACTGCATTCACTTTAGTTCTACTCGGCTCTAGAACAACTTCAAATTCTTTGTGCCATTTGTACCTTAACTGGTCTGTACGCCTCTCTGACTCAATGAATCCAGGCAGTAGTTTCCTTAAATTTCTGTCTCTTTTTGGCTAATAGAATCTTGCATTTTTAAAACCTGAAAGCTTGAGATCCGGTGAATTTTCAGAGGCAGCATCAACTGTCAGCATTTCATAAACTGACTTTCCTTTCTTCTTATCATGAGTCATTTTTGTAAGTTCCACTATGTCTTGGACAGTCAACTGTCCATCCCATTCATTTTCACTTTCCTGCTTGTTACTGGAATTTGAGACAGAACTAGCAATTCCCGCAAGTAGGTCTTCGTTGCTTCCATGGTGAACTTCTCTTGCTAGCTCACAGAGTCTTCCATTTTGTTCTTTCATTCGATTGGCAAGTGGTCTAGAAGCAAATTTCCTCCCGCAGTTTTGTTCACTTCTTCTTTTCACTTGTAATTCAACCAACTTTTTGGTACCTTGATAACGGTTCAATGGAGTTAAAGGAGGTCTAGCAGGGGTTGGAAGTAGTCGGCTAGCCGGAACTGAAGCTGGTGTTGAAGGTTGTTGAATTGTTGAGACTGTGGCTGGTGTAGAAGGAGGTTGAACTGCTGCTGGTGTAGAAGGAGGTTGAACTGCGGCTGGTGTAGAAGGAGGTTGAACTGCGGCTGGTGTTGCAGGTGGAACTGTGGCTGATGTAGAAGGAGGTTGAATAATAGTACCAGCTGGTGGGGGCAGTAGGATTGGCTGTAAGATGAGCATCCGCAGTGCCTTTGTGGTATCATCAGCTGCAGGATATCTGATAATCAGCATAACAAATGCAGCATAACTTACGAGTTCTCTGTTCCTTTGATTCTTACTGAAGATGAAGCTGTCTTTGAGACCTAAAAACAGTCATTTAAAAACAAGCATTATATTAGAGATTTTGAAGAAGAAAAATTAATTTTAATTAAAAAATTGAACTACAGGAAAACCCGTATTAAGCGGACACCCTCTATTAAGCAAACAGTAGCCGAAGTCCCCAAATTTATTTCCCTTATTTACTTTAAATGAAACCTTTATTAAGCGGAAACCTCTATCAAGCGGACGTGGACACCGAAAAAGTACCTACCTAAAATGGATGAATTGAATTAGTGTAGAAAAGACAGTTCAAAAATGAAAGTAAGTAAGATTTGGCATCGTCGTGAAATGTAAACTGCTTTCCAGCTTTGTACTTTATAACTTCTAAAGCTATGGCAGTAGCCAATTGTGACGCTCAGTAATAAAATATGTTATTAAAATATGTTTTTACCACAACAAAAATGAAAATGAGCAACATGTTACATTGTCAAAACAGCTCAAAATGGCCTCCAGTCCCACCCTATAACAACAAAAGCATCACAGGGTCTCAGTGACAAAGCAGCACATTTCGGCATGTAATCTACACCAGAAACGTACGGATCTTGCAAACTTTCGGTTTACTTGCGGCGTTCGGATCTTTAATTTAAAGATAAGCTTAAACTTCGCTTAAAATCAGCTGATGCAATACTGTATAAGTATAATGTTTGTCATTATCTTCCAGTCGGGAAGATCAAAACTGCTTACATTTCTCTCTGATAAAATGAAACTAAGCAATCGTTATTAATTATGTTAAAAATTTACGCAAGAAAAACATGTGTACTTACTTGCATGTGAAGAAAGCGTCATAGTTCGACGAAATCACAATGGGACAAAAACTTGATCCTACAAAGTTAAGCGATGTAGTTTCGATCGCCTCGCCGACGATCATACAACCGAAACAAGTACTATACCTCCCTGCTTTGTCGCTGGCCTCAATTTTCAAGTCGGTGGTATATAGTGATTGTTGACTTCTTGTTCAGCATTTGTTTACTTGTCGTTTTTTCCTGTTCACGGCTGGCTTTCGAATATACCTGAGATTGTGAAACCGGTTATTCAGCTCACTCCGGTCTAATGACAGCACGTGACGCAAAAATGTCACATGATACTGGGAAACAATGGGCTTGCATATGCATGAACCCCAGTGGAGTGGGGTTCGGAGAATGACACATTTTGACCGCTACGAAGTCGTCATGCATGCAACTAAAGAATCTAAAATGAGGAGCCGATTAACCTAAAATTTATGATCTTCTCTTTTCTTTGGGTACTGATGTGAAAAACATACATCTGGAATGTGGTAATCCTGTGAAAATACCCATTTTCTCTTCCGATTGTTTAGTTTTCTTCCTAATTTGACATCAAACTAAATAATCCACTTCTGCAATTTCAATTTCTCTGAATGGTTCGAAATTTAAGGCATTTGCTCACTGAGATAATGAGGACACACAAACAAAAAAAGTATAAAAACAAATAAAGCAGGACTATTTTTATCAACTGAGTCCGTTAACACATTAAAGCCGGCAAATTCATGGCTTGATAGTGTGGTATGGTAACGATAATGGCTCGACTTTACACTACTCTAGCATTAACTCGAAGGCAAATGCCAACAACAACAAAAAGGTCAAATAAATAAACAGCACTTTAACGAGTACAACTTACAGCTTAGTTAACTCTGTCAGACTTGAGAACGTTCCTGTTTCCAGTTTCTGGATTTTGTTACCATAAAGATATCTGCATAATGAGAGAACAAAAGAATTGGGTGAAAAAAAGCGCTAAAAACTCCTATCACGATAACATCACTCTTTGCACAGAACAATTTTCGTTTTCTCATAATAAATACAATAACGAATTATTGATAATTATGATAATTATTACTAAATTATAATAACAAAATGACAAATACAAGGATAAACTGATAACACTTACAATTCTCTTAGTTGTGCCATGTTTGAGAAAATCCCCGCATCTAGTCGCTGAATTTCATTGGAGTCTAAAGATCTGTTAGAAGGTAAAAACCAAATTACAGCACAACTTAGAAATGGTTTCTCAATAGTTTTACTGGTGAATAATCCCTGTAAATACGACATTCAAAATATTAATGTTAATTGTTATTAAGATGTATGCATTAGTGTTTATAGAACAGCAATGATGGCAAAAACAGCTGAAAAGACAATCAATAGGCCAAACGCCTTAATCAAAATTTCATTGTAAATGCAGAGGCACTAAAGCTAACTCAAAACCTCATTAATGATTCGTAAGCCAAATGACCTATCAAATGGTCGATAATACATCACGTGCAGTGACTTTATTTCGATAACCCTCCCCTTATAAGTATGCGGTACTTTATCAGATAACATTTAGATTTATCCAGGGCTAAAGGGGAGGCTCCCATGAAATTTATAATTTAAATCAAACAAAAAACTTGTATTCCAC